GCGCAGCCACTCCGGAAATGCTCGAGGCGCAGCCAGTAACCCAGGTGACCGAGGAGACCAAGGACGAGATTCCATTCGGCATCCGCGCAATCCAGAGCGGTATTGAGGTCGACGGTGTCTGGATCTCGCGTACCAACACCCCCGTTGGCAGTAGCCGTGCTTCCATCGTCAGCGAAGCCCCTCCATACGCCTCACAGTCACAGCTCTCACTGCCCCGGCCAGTCGCCCAAGGTTCCAGCCGCAACAGCTCGCGCGGTCCCAGTTCTTTCGACCGCGCCGTTTCCGCTGAGCCCGTCTCAACCCAGGACTCCCGATCATCTTCTCCTGCTCGTCCCCACAATCATGAGGGCCCCCGCTGCAGCAACTGCAATCACCACGTCTCCCGCACCAGCGCCCTCAACGCCCTGGAAAACCCCTACGCTACCCGCAACTCTGGCGCTACTTCTCGTGAGTATCAGCATGCGCAATAGATTGAACTATGCTAACAGCCTTAGCTCCCCTGGGTCAACATGGACAGTCCGCAAGCAATTCCAGCCGCCGCACCAGTGACGAGTCCGACTACATGGCAGCTGGCCAGGACGTCCGCACCTACGAGTCCGCATACTTCAGGCCCAACCAACCCATTGACCCCAAGACCGACCTCGAACTCCTCCGCAGCCATCGTCTTTCCCACGTCGCCGAGACTGGACAGCTCACTCCTCGAGTGCGCAAGCCAGGTAATAGCGGAGAGTGGGCCAGCGTGGCGGACAACCAAGTGTCCTCGGTCAATGGTGTTAACTATTTCATGCCTCAGAAGTCACCTTCTCCTCCGCTAGCTACTGTCGCCGACCAAGCTGAAGACGTATCTGCCGGACCGAGTCACGATGGCAACGCAGCGAACCAGGCAAGGCAAGCGGTTCCCCTGACCGAGTCTTACGCGCCCAACGCTCCCTACTACCCCGACACCTACGAACCCCGTGGCCCTCACCACCAATACAGCTACGACCAGGTGCCGTACGAAGTCAACACCGAGCAGAACCAGGATCGCGATGACCACGTCCTGCGCTCCGTCAACTCTGGCTTTCAGGTCCTGAAGCCGGGCACCTTCCAGCCACCCACCCCTGAGGAGGTTGAGCTCGCCGAGCGGAGAACATCAAAGAAGCTCCAGAAGAAGAGGAGGACATCCGGTGATTCGCGGAAATCAGCCTTTACCGAACAAGTCTAATTTTTCATTACGATAATGATAATTTCGCTACGGCTTCCACCTCGCCTCCACAACAACGTGCCGGCACCAAATGCATTGATGTTTTTACAGCGTTTAATTTTGTATCATCTGGCAACATCTGGGGCTTCTTCTGGGCAGCATTCTGGCACTGGGTACTTTGCATGTACTGTTTTGGGGCATGGACAGGCCCACCTACTGTTGTTTTTCTTAATTCACTCTCTCCGCCGCAACAGGTTGCTTGGCATACCAGGAACGCGAGCGGCGTTGTAGTAAACCATCATCATAATCGGGGCGTTATAGACACAAAATGGGCACACCTAACGATCGACACGTAGCATGAGTACCAGGGGTTAAGGGCTCATTGCATAGCATATAGTAGAATCACGAACTTCTTCTCTAATCCATTCCTTCTCAAATTTGACACGGTCTGCGCAGATCTGAGTAAGTCGCTTCACCACTCTACTTACAACAGACTACGGCTATAATGGCCCAAGGCGACGAAGGATTAGAGTTCTCACCCCCTGAACGCCCGTGGCTTGAATTGGCGAGGCACAGTAAGAAGCCAAGTCCTCAGTTGCCGTCCGTCGTCAGCAAAGCGCCACTCAGCTGAACAATGTGCGCTGACATCAAAAAACTAGGCAAGTAAGCCACGCCCGACGTCACATGCTGGTGATTGGACTGAATCAAACGGGGCAAAACAGACTCTGCAGCAGGCAGAGAAGAAGAAAACCAAGTCTTACTTACACGAATGAATGTATGGATGTACGTGTATGCATAGAGCTGGAAGCATGTCTCGGTAGTGGCAACTTGCGCAGCATGTACATGAAGCTACTGGATACGCGGGTTGTGAAGCCGCGGGAACTTAGGCAGCTGATTAGCCCTGGGTGGTTGTTGAATACCTGCTCTACGGTGCGGTGAACATAGGCCAGTTTGTGTGAACGCATGTTTACTTGTTTTCGCTTAATGTGATTTGATGGGTTTGACTGGAGAGGGTGAACGGGGATAGGAGAGCGTTACGTCTCACGTTACGAGAAAGACGCGTGGTTCGGGAGGAATATGGAGAATGGGTTTCACAGGTTTCGATCTCCAGCTGTCCATGTTGAATCAGGACATTGAGATACGATCTCGCAATTTGTCGACAGAAGAACGCAACCAGGTTCCTGGACCGGCAAAATCGGCTCCTACCTACCGTCTGCCGTGCCCCGACCCGTGTCCCTGTTTTCCTCCTTCCTTCTTTTCTCGCGTAACTGCCTTGTTGAGTGGCGTCTTTGCTCTAGTAGGTCTTGGTACATTTCCCATTTTTCTACTCCGTCTTCTTTTTTTGCGAACGTGCGTTCTTCGCTTTCGGCCCGGTTCTCATCTCATCTCTTTGATGGGGGAGATGGGAAAATGAGAGAGGGGGTCGAGCGGGATGCGGAGATTGGGGAAGTAATTACCTGGATACGAGTATCGTGATAGAGCGACTGAATGGATTCGAAAAGTGGTCTCTACCCGGCCGATTTCACATGTCTAGCCAAGTCACATATTCCCATTGATTACAGACTAGCGCGATGTAGATATTTCCAATACCTCGGCTTCCACATTCTAGAACGCGTTGTCCTTGCTGAACATACATGCTGTATGCAAGGCGTAAAGTCTTCGACCGGTGAGTGGGTGAGTTACCAACTGTCGCCATTTTCCAACAACACACCCATCGCCGCGCGCTACGCCGTTACTGCCTAGGTAAGGAACCCAGACACCTAAATTAGAAACGTCGAGCCGTGTGGCGTGCATACATGCTACGGGAGGCTTTCTCATGGTCTGTCTGGCGCAATCGATAGGGCGTTGAGTTAGCGAGAAGGCGGCAGCGGGGTTGAGTCGCACCTTCCTATCCGCTGGTCGCGCCTACCCAATAACCTGCTTTGTGGTGCAGCGTTCAGAGAAGCCTCATCGTCATTCACGACAACGGACTTTCGAGTTGTTTTCCCCCTTACGCTGCGAATTCGCCTAATCCCCTGATATCGCGAGCATGGGTACACGTGGATTACGACATGTAAGAGGCGGGGCGTTGTGATGCGCTGGCCCTTTAAACAGGCGAGGCATTCAGGGGACAAGAGCGTAAGTACTGGTCCTGAGAGGTGTGATTGACGGTGACAAGTCACCGTCACTGTTGCACGGAATCGGTTTCAGATGCATTGGTGCAGGATCTGTGTGCCAATCGATGTCTTGTCTCTGTAGATGAGTTTTGGGATTTGGTCGGTACGGGCTCCCGCACACCGGGTCGTTGTTCCTCGAAGACTGCGGAGGATGTTCAGAACGACCCAAACGCAGCGCCTTTGACCACTCGGCCACAGCAAAATGTCGCACATCGAGCAGCGAATACTCTTCGACATCTTTCCGACAGCGTAACTGCCGCCTCGATTCTTCTCAGTACCCTAGACGCTCCGGCGATCGCGCCACCATCCATGCTTGTATCAAGATGCTTCCTCAAAAGCACAAAGGTTGGTCATATTGATACAAGGCCGAGTTCATTAAACACCTCGGGCTCGACCATGAGCAAGCTTTCGACGTGTGGTGCTTTCGATTTCGCGCAAGCACCTCACATAAAGAAGAAATTGAACAGGTCTGCAGCCTACATTAGGATAAAAGCACGCAAGTTAGTTGACCCAACGTCATTGTAGGCTCCGGGGTGTTCAGTTTTCTCTCTAATTGGGGTGCAAGCAATCACCAACGACATTGAAGCTACCTAGGTACCTACCGACAAGTCCAGGACTTGGCTGACTCTACTTTCCGTCAGTACTGATGGATAGTTCTGCGATGCGAGAGGCATCGTTCCGTGGCTGAAAGCTACTACCCTGGAGTTCGATCTGCTTGTATACCTGAAGTACCTGCCCAATGGGATAAGCACCAACTTCGCTGATGATCACCACGGAGTTTGGTGGATTCGGTATGATCCTAAGCTCATTCTCAAGCTTGAGCCGGGCTTCGGCCAAGATGAGAAAGCTGATAAGCCGATTGCGGCGTGGAAGATACTGCAGGACAGTAAGGATAGCTCCTTCGGCAAGAGCTACGGCCGCAACTATATCAGCCCCAACACTTCATTCCCCATACTCGAATGAGCCTGCTACGCCAGCACTTACGTTCGTCGCCATGTAGCGACGGAGCTCGCGTATTCCTGTACTCTATTTCAGTAGTGTAAGACTGCTACATACCCTATACGACCTGTTTTCTGCGTTGCAGCGAATCATTCAGAGGTCTACATCGCTGTAAGTCTTTCCTAGACATCGCGTCATGTACCGATGTAGGCCGCAAGAAGCAACAAGAATAGTATGGATTCAGACCATCCGGAAGACTACATTGCTGTTAGTTCCTACCTATTCTCTTTCTTTGTACTGTCGTAGGCCGCAAGAAGCAATAAGTTTTTCGTAGAAACAGATCACCCAGAAGTCTACATCGCGTTTGAAGCTTTCTGGTATCGTGCTATACACTGCTGTATGCGGCACGAAGCAATGACAATGTAATAGAAGCCAGTCTCCTAAAAGCCTACGTTGCTGTTATTTCTTTCTAGCCGCGTCGTTTGAAGACAACTGCATCTCGAAATTTGACGTGACGTGACGTACATGTCGATAGCAGACACAGGATATCTCTACGGTATGTCTCATTGACCGCCGATTTGTCACGCTCCATTGTGCGAACGCTCCGTTTGCACCTTTACCCTAGGCAGCCACCTACGTCCTTCTCGCTTCCGATTGACATCATCGCAACTGCCGCTCCAATTGTTTCCAATACCCACGATATCATACGCAAGCGCGTAAATATGGCCTCCACGGACACCAAGAAACGCAAGCGCAAACCGTACGAAAACAAGGCATTGATGATGGAACACCTGGGTTTTGGGTGCGAGAAATCGTTCGACGACTGGCGCGCGAGTGATCTGGTGAAGCCCCACTGGGAAAGATTCAGTAAACACTTCTTGGACTCGCCTTTCTTCAAATTCGACAAAAAGGTTGGAGAGTTCAAGCGTGTGTACATTCAAATCATCAATGGCGAGAAGGGCGGCGCGATGACATTCTCCACTCGCACCAACCGTCAATACTATACCGACTTGGATTGGCACGCGTGGCTCTTGTATTGGCTTGTCAAAGACAACACGTACAGTAGGGATGGTATCTTTCATTACACGGGGCTTGACAGATTGGAAACATACCGATGCATGTGGGACTTCATCGCCTTCGAGAAGCGACAGCACGCACAGGGCAAAGTCAAAGGCGCTGCCGAATCATCGAAGACCGCATCATCCTCGTCCAAAAAGCCAAACCCTAACGAAGCCACCTCCTCTGAGTCTGAGGGTGAGGAACACCATCGCCTGTATCCCGACGAGGGTGTTGCCAGCATCTTCTGGGTCGAAGGCAGGCCGGAAGCTTTGGAAGAAGATGAAGGAGCATCCGTCCAAGCAACCATCCGGGGCTTTTGTGGTTACACTGAAGCTGAATTCCAAAACCGAGTTATAGCGGCCTTTGATCTGCGTAGCCACCGGCAAGTTGTAGTGGAGTTGGATGCCTGGAGGGGTTTGACGTACATCGGCGCTCAATGGGGCGCGCACAAAACTGGGAAAAAGATCGTTTTCGAGTTGACCACCATGGAAGCGATTAACGAACCCTTGCTTCTACAACGGGCGCGAATAAGTCTGACATAGCTTCCGCCAACAGGTGCTTGCTCGATCTAAGCGCACAGGACAGCCAAGTGCATGGGTACGCCACATATCGCTGCTCACTACCAAGTCGTTCAAGACCTATCAAGAAGCTGTCCCAATGCTGGAGAGTCTTCCTTTCTTATTAGCCCAATTAAACTTGGACATCTGGGGAAAGGACGACAAGCCTTCAGACGAAGAAGACGGGAACGAAGATCTTTTCGTGGCCACATGTGTATATTTAGCTTACGATAGTATCCGATGATAAATGCAGTACAGTGCAAATCAATGAAGTTAATCCGTCTTTTGACTCATACTAGTAGCTGAATTTGGCAGCTTGTTCATTCTTGATGAGAGACTGGAGTCGATGCCGAAGCAGACTACACAATGCGGTAGTAGTAACGCAGTAATTTACACAGTAAGGGCTATACCCAGCGCATGTGACGCAGTGAATAATCAGTAGATTGGCAGCTTGTTCATATGCCTGCAAGCAAGTTTACCAGCTAATCTCACGTTCGGATAAGATGCTCTAGATATCGGTCTGACTATTTGATGATCTATTCGTGGTAGATAGGTAGACTCAATACATGAGTAGATCTAACACACCAGTAAAGTAACACGGTATAATACAAAGCAAGAAATGTAGTCCTAACCTCTTCCATATGATAATTAAGCATGCCCACATCGCATTCAACCTCAAAAATCCAAAAGACTTCTCCCAGGAACAACGACCGCAGCATTCGAAGCCTCCAGATCCTTAACCGGCTCTGCCTTCGGTACAGCAAACCCATACTCCGCCTCCCAATCGTCTTCGTAGTCACTCTCATCCTCAGAATCCCAGTCACTCTCCTCGCTGTTATCCTCATAATCGCGCTCACTCCAGCCATCGCTATCGTCCTCCGCATCTTCCTCCTCATCTTCATCCACCCAATCCGCGTCGTTCTGGTCATCGCCGTCGTTCTCAAAGTCGCGTGTGGAAACCTTGACCTTACTGATGACTGGTATATCCAGAAACCTATGACAGCTCAAGTCCTCTAGCTCTCCAGTGAGCAGCTCTGTGCCAGACAGGTAGCCTAATCCGCCTTTCTTATCTTCTTCTTTGCGCTCGAAATCGAGTTGCACAATGGCCGGTTCGCCCCAGCTGTTGGTGTGGTTGAAGCGCAGTACCTGCAATGTATCCCATAGTGGTAGCGGTTTTGATGTGATAAGCTGTTGGATGGCGTTGGCGTGGCTTCGTTTGCTGTGATGCACGTATAGGGCCTCCAATCCGCTCAGCGCTGTGAGCATGGCTTCCATACGTTTGCCGTAGTTGTCGTCGATTGTGCCTTCCCTCATCTTCAGGTATTTGACGGTCGACGCGTAGGTGGGATTCGAGGTAACGGTGCGTAGGAACAAATCCCAACGCGTGTTGGCGATTGTTAAGCTGATGTTTTTCGCGATATGGACGGAGGAAATGCGATTGAGCGAGTGCGCCGTCAGGGAGAGGTTGATGATATGGCGGTAGAGTGTTGGCTGTTGGCCTTCTTCAATGTCATTGACACTGGGCCGATCGGGCGCAAGGTATACGGATATTAGATGGAGGACTGGGTCGGGGAGGGACGATAAAGTAACAAGGGACATATTTTCGGTGGGAGACGAGGTTCCGAAGTATTTGCGACAAATTTGCAGACTGAGGTGTTGGATTTGGAGGGAGAAGAGGCGAGGTGGTGAGTATATATTGGAGAGAGACGCGTCTCGATGATGTAGACGCGCCGAGATGGCGCTAAGTTTGAGATGGTGTGGCGCGTGCACCCCCTAGACAGAAGAACGCGAAATGGCGCGGTAGCGTTCCCGGGACATGTGCGAAGTGCCGGTGATGGCAGCAGCAGCAAAGGTCGATGTGTTGTGAATGCCCTCTCGGCACATGGAATCCTATTGCATTGCCATGATATGTTGACCCAAACGCCGCGCTATGCATGTCAAAAATCAATCACGTCCTACCCTCGCTCATAACTTGACTTTCTTCACGGGCTTTTGTTCCGCTGTCGCGTCGTCCTTCTTCCGCTTGAAGATGCTCTGGCTCTTCATCTGACCAAGTCCGGCCTTGTTCGCTGGTGCAGCCTTTGCTTTCAACCCGAAACTGAGCTTGACAGGCGCTGCTTCCGCCTTCACCTCCGTGGCATCTTTCTTCTCCTCTCCTTGTTCTCCTTGTGTTTGTTCGTTGACCGGTGTTTCGACCTTCTTCTCCTCCGTTGGAGACGATCCTTCTGCCGGCGGTGTGACCTGTTGTTGCACTGCTGCTTGTGCCGCAGCTCGTTTCGCCTCGATAGCCTTCTTGGCCTCGGCTTCTTCTTGTGCACGCTTCGCCATCTTTTTCAACATCTTGTCTTCGCCCGCACCGCTCCGTGCCTCAGCAGCCTCCATCTCCGCGATCTCGTTGCGCCTGTTTAAGGCTGCAACGGAAGTATCTCTCCAAGCGATCATCAAGCCGTCCTTTTCGTCTTCCTTGACATGACAGATACCCTCGCGTCCTAGGTGTTTGGCGAACTCGGTGAGCGAACTCCACTTAGTAGCGTTCATGTGGACATGTTCCTTGTCTCGAATGTACTCGTTGTAGAACTTGTTGACGCCGATCCACTTCTCGTTGTGTGCTGTCCGCAGAAGATTGACGAAATCCCTTTGGAATTCGTTGCTGAAGCCTTGAATGTACTTCTTGGGATCTTCGCCGACAACTTGCAAGTTTCGGACGTGGCCCTCGCTCTGGACGTGGCATTTGAAGCCGTTGGCGTCGCGACATTGCTTCTGGCACGGCTCACACCACCAGCGCAAGCGCTGCAAGCCCTTTGACTTCATCTTGTTGGCCACCCATTTTGTACTGCCCGCTTCAGCCTTGCCCATGGTTGTGGTTGTGGTTGTGGTTGTGGGTGTGGGTGTGGCGGTGTCAACGGTGATTTGGCGTAGAGGGTAATGCGGTTACGAGGACGGTCGTCGCGTTTACGGTGTGAAAATACAGCGGATGCCGAAGATAGTCCCGTATGGTCGTGTGGGTTTCGTATAACCGCGATGCGTGGGGCACGGGGGGATCGTAAGGTGATTGAAGATTGGCGCGGATTCACGAAACTCGTAGGGCTGCTCAGGTGGCTGACTAAAGAGATCGCCACCCGCGGCTGCGCTAGCGCTAGGCTGAACTGGGTCCACTGCGCACGTAGGTAACTGCGTCGCATGTACGCACACGATACTTCGCATTTGACAACTTGATGGTAGGCTGTTTGAAACACAACGTCTCTAAAGGTTGGAATGGTAGAGTACCGTTGAAGTTACCAATATCGGGGGTCTATCTAATATCACCACGAGCACCATCTGAACGTACAATGTAGAACCCCTTGGGAAGTCTATTACCTAGGTAGTATGCTGAACGGATCACCTATTGTAGAATGTTCACTTCACACTTTTCTAGCCCTTCAATGCACCTTATACAAGAACAGAACTAAACAGGTTTGCAGACTACATTGATGTGAAAACGTGCAAAGTAAGTAACCTAACGTCAATGTAGCCTCTAGAGTGTCTAGTGTTTTCCTAGGTTGACGTGGATGGATGAAGGTGAGTGCGCGGGTATTTCTTCACTTCGGTAGAGATCCAGGTTGTTTCATACTCACACGTTACAACACGCCGGGCCCAACTCAGACAGTGGCCAGACTCTTTCCTCCCGATATACTCGTAGCTACGACTAGCTACAATGGCGCGAGGCCCCTCCACCCGTGCCTTGAAACAGCGAAAGCGCTCCGCGCCCAAGCCGTATGAAGACAGAGGCAAGATCGTCGCCTCTCTCGGTTACTCCTACACTGACGCCGCTTTTGACAAGTGGCGAGACTCATCGCTCGTCAAACCGTGGTGGGAGGTCTTCGTCAGCAAGTTTCTGAAGACCGATCTCTACAAGCCTGGTAATAGCGTTCCCACCTTTGACGATCTCTATGCACGCATCCGGGACGATGAGTGGCGCGGCCGCATAGGATCCTTTGGGCAGACGCATTTTCCGAGGTACCACAACGAGACGGACTGGTATTCGTGGTTGTTACACAGAATTGTCGTGGAGAACACTGGAGACCGCGAGGGGTGTTTCTACTATTGGGGAAGAGAAGACGTGGAAACCGTATTCCGGACAGCTTACCACTACATCCTGTTTGCGAAATGGGAGCGCGCAACAGCACTCACGAGATCGAAATCCACGAGATCACCAAAGACGAAGCCAAAGGCGACTACTGCACGTAACCCGGCGCCTTCATCAGACGACTCGGATGCTGAAGAGCGCGAACCAACACTAGGGCTTGCGTACGTGCGGTGGACTGAAGGTCGACCTTTGGGCGCGCTTACAGCGATTGAGATCGAATCGTTTCGTAGCTATAGCTTGGAGGGCTTCCTGGAAGAGATCAACCAGCGTTTTGGGCTCAGTCACCGCAAACAGCGTTGTAAGGCGCTGGTAGCTGAGGACGACCAGGCATGCCCGGCAAAGTATGAGGTGGTAGCCTTCACGTTGGAGACTGAGGATATCGAGGTTCCGGAGGAGAAATCCAGCGATGATGACAGAGTGTTCCGATAAGATGATTCCATATTGGGCGAGGTATTGCTTCCGTGGAGGTGAGGGGTTACTCGACCAGGAGAAAAGCGCAGTTTATACTGAGCAACAGAACGAACAGGTGCTCTGAAGTCTACATTGCCCTGAGAACCTGAGTTTGTCAAATACGGAGGTGACATAGACGTCTAGGTTAGAAGATAAATGTTTGCTTCTCCCCCGAATAGGGTGCCCTCTTGCTGAGATAACACAAACCTTCTTCTCGTGCTTTAGCACACTAAGTTTTTGTACCAACGACCCCCTAATGCAGAACCATCCCCTTGCATACCCGTCACGGCCCGCAGTCTTGGCTACAATCAACACTCTTCTTCTCTTTCCCAACCCGGTAGCAAAAAAAGATCTAGAACATAGGAGGAGCGGAATGTTCCAATACAACGACCAAATATCGTATGAGGCT